AAAAAAAGGGAATATTTGTTGCGAATTACAATTAAAATAAATTATTGTTATAACATTTAATTTGAATTAATAGTTTGTTATTTCATATAATTTTCCCAAGAAAAAATCAATTAGCGAAATTGTGATAATTCAATTGGTTAGTTATTTGAATTTTTAGCTAGTATTTGGAGTTTTAGTGTAGTCTAGTAACTGTAGGTCTACATTGTGCTACTTCAAGTATAGGTAATTGAGTGTTGACCAATCAAAACAATTCCTCTTTTTCTATCTTTTCCTTATATTTCCACCACCCATCGTTACTGGAAAATAATTTAAAGATAAACAAGAAAAAGTTGAACAAAAAAAAAAAGCTCGAAAGTGACATGTTTGTGACTTAAAACACAAGAATCCTTCCACAAGTAAAAGAAACAGTTTCTCCATTCATAGGATGCTTATCTGATAGCAAACCCTTTTTAGCTTTAACAAAAAAATCAGTATGGCCAGAAATTGCATACAAAAAAAATAATAATAGGTCGTGTCCTTGAAATGAACTCGTGATAATGGACCCCTCTCACATTTTTTATTTTTTTTTATGACAAGGAAAATCCTCAGTCGCTATCTTTTGGGTGCGCACAGGGTAAAACCTCTGCTCCTATGTAATAGTTCGCAAACCACATAGGAGAGGTAACCCGCACTAGGCAAGCCCGATGCGACGAGCTCGACCCAGAAGGCAAACCCATTTGCTTTCGCTGGCAAGGGGTTTCAAACTTGAAACCTCCAACATGGAAGTCCCAAGCCCAAACCATTGGGCCACCCGGAAGGGTCACATTCTTTTTTTAAATGGAGGATATCGAAAACACCTCTAACTATTAACAACCTTAAAAATATTTCTCTATTTGATTAACTAAACTTAAATACACCCATAATCTTGCTACATGAGTGAAATAAACTCCTAAATTCTTGCCAAGTTTAGGGTGTTTGCAACACTTCTCTTGGCTTTTGAGTTTTTATTAAGAGTCTCATCCTCCTACAAGTTTTTGAGACCACTTGCTATTGTCATTTGGTAGATCAGGGGTGTATTTAAGTTCAGTTAGTCAAATAAATGTGTGTTTTTAAGGTTGTCAATGATTCGGGGACGAAACTAACAATTCACATTAATTTCAAAAATATTTTTAATACTTTATTCTTTTAAATTCAACGTCCACACCCACTTTGGCTTCAAATTAATTCAAATTTATGTTGTGCCGTGAAATCTAAAGTAAAGTAATTTTTATTAAAGACGATTTTATATTAAAAAAACCTCAACATAAAATTGATGAATGATTACTTAATATTAATAGTGGACCTCTTATCGATTATTCCTACTGCAGCAAGTCTGCAACCCCCTCATTAAGAGAAGGTAAATGGTTAGGGACAAGGACATAATTAACCAACCTACCACGATTATCTAGCTATTTTTTTTTTAATGATTGATGATGATGGGAAAAAAAGTTGGATAGCGTAGCAGTTGGTTCAGTTTATATATAATACAAAGAAATTCTACATCATTAATTCAATTATTAGAACTACAGCCAATACCATTTGGCACCTTGGAAATTAAGTTTTGAGTTTTATATAATCTTATCCATTGCCACTCAACTTTCCACATAATATATGTCATAATATCAACTGGTATTGGTGGCGCAGGGTCAGTGACCAACCTCACTCGTAATTTATGAATCCACGTGAATTTAATAAGCTCAATACATTAATAGCCTCTCAATTCAAATAGTGTTTTTCAATTATCCAAATTAATAAACATGTTACCTCCTTTGATTATACATATTAACTTTACTAAATCGTAGAACTTCAAGACTGTTGTAATTGAGGATGATGCTAATTTACGATAACCTTGCATGGACATTTATTTGCTCTGGGACTTGAGGTGGCTTAACTTTCTTCTTTCACTATTTACGGTCCTTATAATTGTCTCAAATTTTTATTTTTTTCAATTGTCTCAAAGTTGCTACAGTGAAATATGAGTGTCCAACAAAAGATCAACAAGTCCAGTGAGACAAATCTAATCAACTTCCAAATCTCACTTTACAAATCCACATTGAATGTTGTCCATTTCATGCTTCACTTCAGTTTATAAGTGTCCTTTTCCCTATTTGTTCAAACATTCTATCATGGCTCAAATGGTGGGCATAACGAAATTCAATCAAACTTTGATGCTCACTCAAATTTTAACATTTATCACAAATTCTAGAGCATACTTTTATCGATGGACATCTTATATTAAAGTTGGGAGAGCCAAAATATATAATTGGGATTATGAGGTGATCAACTTTTTATGCTATTTTCCCTTCAAATTACCCCTCAATATAACTGCACTGTCTTTAATACAATTCAGGCAAAATTACGTCTCAAAAGTTAACTATTAAGGTGAGAAAGTCCACGATTATATAAGTCTCACATTGCCTTCCTATTAAATTGACGTGAAAACTGAATTACGTCTCAAAAGTTAACTATTAAGGTGAGGACATCCAAACTACATACGTCTCACATTAGCTTCCTATTAAATTTTTTGCCCCATCAAGTTTTCTTGCGTTGCTCCATTTGGAGTTTGCCTTGTCCAACCCTACCCCATTTCCATATCTCTCTAACATTAGAAAATGGAACTTTCTCAGACCATTTTTCACTGTATCCAAATTGCTGAAAAGTGGAAAGTAGCAAAACTCAGCTTTAAGAAAAAAGGTACTATAATCACCAAAGTTTATTAGTGGGGTCCCCAGTCTCCCATATCCTTTTTGTCTGGAGGGGCCCTAAAAAGAAAATATCAGAATTATCCAGAAAAATCATCACTGAATTAAAGACAGCTAGCTAGGTTTGTTTTGGTAGTGACATAAATAATTCAATAACACAAATGCTTCGTCCTATCCAAATGGCTTGTTAGAATTTTGCAACCTCAATGGGACCAACAATGAGGAAGAGAGAATACTTGTGTAACCCACCGACTATTTGGTGATATACTTTTCTCATGCTACCTTTTGTTAGTGTCTAATATTTTACATAGCACTATACTATTAAAAACTTCGTCAAACAAAAATACTACTCTCTCTATCATGATTCATTTAAATTTATGATTTGGAAATTTTTTTGTGAGATTTTGGGCATATTGAAGTGTGTGACCATCTCATCTAAAAGCTTAAACCGTTGGAGAGAGCACACTTTTATTAGTTATTGATATTCTCAACACCATTTCATTAAGATAAAATAGAAAGTTTAAAGTTAATTCATGACTAGATAAAAAAATATAATATCACATAAATGAAAATAGAGAGAATAATAACGATACTAGAATTTTACTTGGAGTACTTAGTAGAGTCTAGCAACCTACATTATCGAACGCCAAAATTCCAACTAGATCTCTAGAATATTTAATTTTAGAGCTTATTGTTACTAAAATAATATGAAGGATCGCATTTAATTTTATGAAAATATTTAGTTACTAAAGTCATTCCTTAGACCAAACATCACAGGTTGATTCTTCAATCATCTAATATGTCTGCAAACGTAAAATAAAAAATAGGGGAAATTTACCAAACATAGACGAATTCAAAGGACACGGTCAGATATTGAAAAATGGAAATGGACAACCACCCATTACGATATGGACAATGAAATGTTATGGAAGAATTGCAGAAGAAGATTCTTCCAACACGTTGAGGAAAAGGTTTATCAAGGGCTTCCTTGGACTTTACTCTACGCGAATCCGAAATAGTTGAGCTTCAATACACTTACCAGACAATAAGAAAAAAAAAAGTTTATCTAGCCACAAAAAAAAGGATGGAAGTTTATAGTGGGAAAGGATAAGTGTACTTTTTTTGTTTTCGGTTTCATATTGTTTTAGAGCTAGATTAGTTTAGATTTATCAAAAAAATTATTTTGAAAATAAACATATATGAATCCACCAATTTGAATTTATGAATTTTGGAGTAGGACAACTAGTTTTAAAATGAATAATATATAGATATTTAAGTAAAAATATAAATATAAATATAAATATAAAATTTAATTCAAATTAATAAATTATACCGAATTTTCAAGTTAAAAATATCTTGATTAAAAAAAAAAAAAAAGTGTTCTATACACAAGAAAAGCAAAAGTATACTAAGCTATTACCAATGGATGTAGTGCAGTGAGCATAGATGTTTTAGGTTCGAGCTCTAAATATGAAAAAATCTTTAATAGAGAGTGTACCCAATGAACGGATCCCTACCCAATCAAATTTAAAATAGTTAAACTTAATTATGAATATCGAACACCGAATAAAAAATAAAGCAGAGTAGCACATAGGGAAGATGAACTTGTGGGTGAGAAAGTAAAGAATACCAAAAGAGAATCGATTAATTAATTAGGGGAGAAGGCAATAGGGCATTTAGCATATGAATATATAAGTCTTACCCAGCTGGAAATTCCAAACGAAACACGAGGCATCTGTAACGGTCCGAAATTTCCAGCTGTTTTCCACAATCACTCTGCATTCATATTTCTATCATACTATCAGTCTCACTCCTGCCTCACCTTTTGCCTTTAGCCCTCTTCCCTATCCAATATCTATAACTATTCCAGACTTAAATTCATAATTTTAGAATTATAAATTAAAAATATTTACTATTCGAGCAAAATTTCTAATCAAAAGTTATTTTCGTCCCTACTAATCCATTATATTTCTAGTAGTATAAACCGGTATCAGTAATCATTGATTCTGTTTAAATTCCTTAAGATTGATCAAATCTTTTACTTTACAGTTTTGATTGACCAAATAAATCAACTTAAACATACGATAAATGGCTAATACTGAAAAAAAAACTGTCGGTACAAATGATCTTTTGTTATAACTTATAACTCTATACAAACACAAATTTTGATATTTTCCTTTCTAGTTTCCAGCTCCAGCTCAGGAATTTCCATTTACGTATCCAAAACTTGGAAGTGAATATTTTGTTTTTTGGTACATCATATAAAAAGTAAATATTTACAGAGTACTGCACCGGTTAATTAAATTCTGTTCAAAACAGCCAAAATTACTAGTATAAGAAATTCACATGCACACAGGCGTGGTAATAAAGAAACGGTAAAATTGGCAAGAAACGAGTTACGCACGTGAGAGAGGCTCCGCCGACGGTGAATTCGCCATGAATAGGTGGTTGAGTAATATACGGAGAATAAAGAAGAGTGAGAAGCACAGACAGCTGCTTAAAAATCGGCGAGTTTCCGGTGGCGCCGATGTTTTGCATCCTGTCTATTAATCTCTTGCAAGTTCCTTGTGCTTCGAATCGCTAAAACTGGGGGATTTTCAATTTCTAATACTCTGTGCAACTCGTCAATATTAGCTGATTCTGCATACTCAGAGCAAAAAGGAGAAGAGAACTCATTAGAGCAAACAAAATACGGACAAGGCATCTGAGAAGTATGTGAAACACATTGAGAGCAGATTTTTTTTTATTGAATACTTGAGTATAATGGAAGTATGGAACTAAATCTGGAAATATAAATTGAAAAAAATCAATTGCGAAAAGGCGAAACAGAATGTGCATTATATATACCTATACGCTTGGCGAAGCCTTCAAATCCTTGAAATTGGGCTAAATCTGCAACAAAAACATGAAAAATCAGGAAACGAGTTCGTTTTTTCTCTGAATCACGAGATTAAAATGTAGTGTACCTTTATCAGACGGACTGTGAGAGAAGAGATAGAGGATGAAGAAGCAGAGAAATGTGAGAACAGGAATGAGGTGAATGTACTTCTCAGCTCTAGACAATGACTTGTTAAGAGCCTTGATTGACTTGCGTACTTGTTCTTCTCCTTCATCGTAGTTGTTAGAGAGTGACGACGGAGAGGCTTGGTCCTTCGTCATTATCTTCTGAGATTCTGCCGCCGTCACGACAGCGGATTCGTCCCTGCTGCCGCCGACGACGACGACTCCATGTGCGAGGTGTAACTTCGATCCCGATGAGCCGAGTGATTGTCTATGCATGTTGGCCGGATTCTGGAGATTCGAGAATGAGAGAGAAACGGCGATTGAGAAAGAGTAAGCGGAGAGAGTGTTTGGCAGCTGTTGAGGTTATTTACTAGCTGGGGATTTATTAGCAAATAATAATGCTATTAAATTTGAGAGTACAAAAATAAAATAATTATAGTAATAAATTGCATTAAACTCCCGTAACTCTAACCGTTGAGGTGGAAAGATACCTTCCTTATTACAAAGACACTTTAGCCCCCAAAAATCCTACACATAACCTCCTAAATTTATCCACCTATTCCACTTAGCCACTTAAACTCAATCTCTTGCCATTTGAATACTTTATATTTATTAAAAGGGAAAAGGGTCAAATATGCCCCTAAATTATTCAAAAAGGTCTAGATATATCCTCGTTTAAAGTTTGGCTCACTCGTGTCCTCGCCGTCCAACTTTTCGTCTAGATATGCCCTTATGGGCGTTAAATGCCAAATGGAATTGGCACGTCATTTTTACATTACCACGTGACATTTATATTAAAGGGCAAAGGGTCAAATATACCCCTAAACTATTCGAAAAGGTCTAGATATACCCCCC